TTAGGGAAATTGGTCTATAATTTTCTTTCTCTTTGACTCTTCCCAGTTTGGGTATCAGCACAATATTTGTATCATAAAAAGAATTTGGTAAGACTCCTTCTTCACCTATTTCCCCAAATATTGCTGTTGAAAAGTTTGATAGAGTTAATAACTGTTAAAACATTTGATAGAATTCACTTGTAAATCCATCTGACCCTAGAGATTTTTTCCTAGGGGGTTCATCAATGTCTTGCTAAATTTCTGTTTCTGAATTGAGGTCATTTAAGTATTTTACTTCCTCTTCTGTTAATCTGGGCAATTTATATTTACCCATTTCACTAAGATTGTTAAATCGATTGGTATACAGTTGGGCAAAATAGTTCCTAATTATTGTTTTAATTGCCTCTTCCTTGGTGGTGGATTCACCCTTTTCATTTTTTATTCTGGTAATTTGGTTTTCTTCTTTCTTTTTTTTAATTAAATTAACCAAAGGTTTATCTATTTTATTGGTTTTTTCCCCATAAAACCAGCTCTTAGTTTTATTTATTAGTTCAATAGTTTTCTTAATTTCAATTTTATTAATTCCTCCTTTGGTTTTCAGTATTTCTAATTTGGTGTTTAGTTGAGGATTTTTAATTTGTTCTTTTTCTAGTTTTTTTTTTAGTTGTATGCCCAATTCATTGATCTCCTATTTTTCTATTTTATTTATGTAAGCTTTAAGAGACATAAAATTTCCCCTAAGAACTGCTTTCACTGCATCCCATAAGTTTTGGTATGTTGTCTCATTTTTGTCATTTTCTTGAATGAAGTTATTGATTGTTTCTATGATTTGTTGTTTGACCTAACCAATTTCTTAGGATTAGATTATTTGGTGTCCAATTATTTTTTAGCCTATTTTTCCATGGCCCTTTATTGCATATAATTTTTATTGCATTATGATCTGAGAAGGATGCATTTAACATTTCTGCCTTTCTTCATTGGATTGTGAGGTTTTTATACCTTACTACATTGTCAATTTTTGTGTATGTGCCATGTGCCACCAAGAAAAAGGTATATTCCTTTCTATCCCTATTCAGTTTTCTACAGAGGTCTATCATACCTAATTTTTCTAATATTCTATTCTCCTCCCTAACTTCTATTTTGTTTATTTTGTGGTTAGGTTTATCTAGTTCAGAGAGGGGGAGGTTAAAGTCCACCACTACTATAGTTTTATTGTCTATTTCTTCCTGTAACTCCCTGAATTTCTCTTCTAAGAATTTGGATGCTATCCCATTTGGTTCATATATGTTTAGTAATGATATTACTTCATTGTCCATGGTGCCTTTTAGCAGGATATAGTTTCCTTCCTTATCTCTTTGGATGAGATCTATTTTTGCTTTTGCTTTGTCTGAGATCAGGATTGCTACCCTTGCTTTTTTGTTTTTACTTCAACTGAAGCTTAATTTATTCTGCTCCAGTCTTTTACCTTTACCCTATGTGTATCTGTTTCAAATGTGTTTCCTGTAAACAACATATTGTAGGATGTGGTTTTTAATCCATTCTGCTATCCATTTCCATTTTATGGGAGAGTTCATCCCATTCATATTCACAGTTATGATTACTATCTTTGTCTTTCTCTCCATCCTCACTGCTACTTAAGCTTTTCTTTCTCCTTTTTTCTTTTCCTTCCTCACCAGTGTTTTGCCTTTGACCACTGCCTCCTTCAGTCCCTCCTTCCTTCTATTAGTCCCCTCCCTTTTCTTCCCCTTTACCCTTACTACTTCTTCCCTTCTCCTAGCCCTACTCCCTTTTCTTTCCCCTTTTCCCTCCTACTGCCTATGGGGAAAGTTAGATTTCTATACCTAACTGATTATGATATTCCCTCCTTGAGCCAAATCTGATGAGAGTAAGGTTCAAACAATGCTTATCTCTCTCCCTTCTTTCCCTCTGCTGTAATAGGTTTTTGTGCCTTTTCCTGAAAGGTAATTTACCCTTGTCTGCCTCCTCCTTTCCTTTTCTCTCAGTACATTTTCTTAATTAGGTCAGATTAATCCATTTACTTGGATCCATTTGACACACTTGATTAGATTTTTTTATCATTGCATCAAAGTCAACTTATACCCACCCCCTTTATGTATACTCCTTTAACATGACATAATAACAATACAGAAGGATTCCACCAACATCATATTAACGAACCTGTTTTTCTGAAGCTCCACCAACATTTGTTATTTTATTCTTTTATCATCTTTGCCAAATGAGAGTAAGATTTGCTTTAGTTTTCACTTTTTCAGTTATTAGTGATTTGCAACAATTTTTTATATGGCTGTTTGTACTCTTGACATTTGTTTGAGGAATACTTGTTTATAACTTTTGTTCATTTGTCACTTGAAAGAAATAATGAAAGGGATTGATTCAGAGAAACCTGGGGAGAACTGCACAAACTGATGCACAGTGAAATGAACAGAACCAGGAGATCATTTTATATAATTACAACAACATTGTAAAATCAAAAAACATCAAAAGACTGAATGATTCTGATCAATCCAATGACCACCATTGATTCCAGGAGACCCATAATGAAATATATTACTCTTTTTCTGACTGAGAGGTGACAGATTGAACATGCAGTATGAGACATACTTTTATGGACATAGGCAATGTGGGATTTCTGTTTTTCTTGGCTATTCATATTTATTACAAGAATTTAAAAAAATTTAAATACAAAAGACAGGAAGAGACAATGTTTTTCAATTGAAAAACAAAATTTACTGTGTGACCCTGGGCAAGTCACTTAACTGCATTGCCTAACCAAAGAAAAAAATTGAAAGAAAGAAGTTGATTTTACACTTTCTGCTCTAAAGAGAATCTTCCTCTTCTCCTCACCTTAAGTGCTGAGCTTCCCTGATAGAGCTTTCCTTTTATTTGAAGCCTCTATTTAATTCCCCTCCCCCAAGAACTAATCACCACCCCCACTAGAATGTGACAGCACTGTACCTTGCTACTGTCCCATCTCTGAAGGAGAAAGAAGTATGGTCTTCTACTCAAGTTTCTCTCTTACTCCATACCCATTTCAGTCAGAGAAATGAGATTGTTACTCCCTGAACTTCAGTGAAGCCATTGGCTTCTGACTACACTAGAATTGCTGTATATTACAAAGATACTTGTTCTGTACAATTAGGATAAGATATTCTACTGCTGGTGGAAGCTAGAAATTCCTACTCTTTCATAATCAATACCAAGCCTTTCCTGAATGGATGCCTTAAAAAAAAATTCTCTTGAGTGAATCTTACTTTCATTGAATTTGGCTTAAGGAGGGAATAACACACACACTCAATTGTGTATGGAAATCTATCTTACCCTACAGGAAATTAGGGGGAAAGGGAATAAGAGAGCAGGGAGATGATAGAAGGGAGGGCAGATTGGGGGAGGGGTAACCAGAAGCAAACACTTCTGAGGTGGGACCGAGTTAAAAGAGAGAATAGAATAAATGGGGGCAGGATAGGATGAAGGGAAATATAGTTAGTTTTTCACAATATGACTACTATGGAAGTGTTTTGCATGGCTACACATGTATAACCTGTATCGAGTTGTTTGCCTTCTCAATGAGGGTGGGTGGGGAAGGAGGAAGGGAGAGAATTTGGAACCCAAAGGTTTAAAAACAAATGATAAAAATTGTTTTCACATGCAACTGGGAAATAAGATATATAGGCAATGGGGTATAGAAATCTATCCTGTCCTACAGAAAAATAGAAGGGGAAGTGGATAAAAGAAGGGGGGTGATAAAAGGGAGGACAGGTTAGGGGAAAGAGTATTCAGAATGCATGCCATCTTGGGTGGGGTTGAGATGGGGAGAAAATTTAAAACAATAAATTTATAACAAATAATAATAATAATAAAGAGAAAAAAGATTTTGTAACAGCTAAAGTCTAACAAGAGAAGGAACTTATGAGTAAATGGTTGCATTTCATTTCATTCTGGTCAAGATTACACCCTTAGTTGATGCATTTGTCATAGTGTTTGGTTAAATAATTTATGCTATTTATAATAAAAGCTGTATTTGAATAAAAAAAAGGAAAAGAAAACATTATCCCACTCTACTGCACTTTAAAGGTTGCCACAAAAAATGGCCCCAATGGCTTTCTTATAAAAGTGGACAAATCTTGATTTTCTCCTTCCAAATGTTTCAAAAAACATTTAAGCAAAAGTAAATACCATATATTGGAGGGACTATGGGAAAGCAAACATTTTGACAAACTATTGGTGTAGTTGTGAATTGTCCGGGCTATCTAAAAAGCGATTTGGATCTGTCACTGCCAAATTAGTCAATCATGTATATCCTTTGAAGAAGCAATACCATTATTTGACCAGTACTTCCAAAAACTCAAAAAAAGAAGAAAATATACAAAATTGAAAGCTCTATGCAAAAAACAAATTGAAACAAGCTTTTTGAAGGGGCTGCAAAGTACTGGGAACTAAAGAGCTGCTCATTGAATGGGGGGATAGATGAACAAATTGTGGTATTGAATGCAAATGAATTCGACTATGTTTTAAGAAATTATGAAAGGGGCAGCTTTACACCTGGGAAGACATTATGAATGGATGCCCAGTAAAGTGAGCAGAACCAATTTGTTCAATAATAGAAACAGTGGAAAGACAAACACCATGCAAAGCTAAAGTTCTCTGACCAACGTAAGCTCCCACCATGATTCCAGAAAAACCATGATGAAGTGTGTTGCCCTCCTTCTGATAGAGAGTGGATGGACTTAAGATGTAGAATATGACACACATTTCTGTCTATTGCCAAGGTGGGGCTTTGTCTGGCTTGGCTATGCATATGTGTTTTAAGGGTTTTGTTTTTCTTTTGTTCCCAATGTGTAGTGAAGATGAGAGAGAAAACACTTTGTGTTAATTAGAAAATTAATTAAAATTTTAAAAAATGCAATGCTTTGAATAAAACATAATAGTTTATAAGTAGATATATAAAGTTGTCTCTTTATGAAAGTAAACTCACATGTGTTTGTTTTGGTTTGGGTCTCTAGCTCTACAACTTTTTACCAGCATTCAGAGTGTACCTCCCTGGAAAGCATAAAAATATGTTTAGAAATGTGAAGAAAATGAAAGATTTCATTTTGGAAAGAGTGAAGGAGCATCAAAAAATAATGGATCCTAACAACCCTCAAGACTACATTGACTGCTACGTCTCCAAAATGCAGCAGGTACGATGCATGGGGGAAGCACCTTACTCATTGATCAAGACTGATATTCTAAGGATTCTTACGGGCCACTCTCTTCCAAGCATAGGAAGGGACATCAGGGAGTCTCAAGGTATCCACATCCCCTAAGTATTCCATTGGTTTTCTAGTAACTGAACTTTGTTGGGTCTGACCCTGTCCCCTATCTGAACTGTGTAAGGGAAATTGTTGTGATGGCCAGGCATGTGTTATGTGGTCATCTCAAAAGAATTCACAGAGTTAGATGATCTTCAATCTAAGCAAAGGCATTTATTGAGGATTACACTCTCCAGTAGGCTATGCTACCAGCAACTAGCAAGAAGAAGAACCAGTGACTAGTAAGGCAAAAACAGAGATTTTTATAGAGCAGAAAGTACCACCAAATATCCTGGGTCTGATCCAATTACCTTGAATCTAGTTGAAGTCATGATCCCCTGATTACAAAACACACAGAAAGGCAAAGTAAAACTGCGTGCAGCCCATAATCCATATGATAATGATATCATAAGAAGCCTCCCTACATCATAAGTTCACCTGAAGGACAATCTTTGCTATTACTCTGCAGGTGCCTACTTAGGGAACATCCCTTCTATGATTTGGTGGCCAACATTCTGCCTGGGTAATGCATTCAATGGTTAAAACATATTTATCTTGGGCCAGAGGAGTTCCTCATTGTCTAGCAACTGTTGCTGTCACAGTTGTTGCTAACAATGTAACTGTTGTTAACATTGCTACCCCATCAACTGCCCCCTAAAGCAATACAGAAGCCAAAATCATTTAGGTGGACAAGGGGTGGAGGTCTCATTTTCTGGAATTTTTTCAGGACGACAAGGGGCATAGAGCTTTCCCTGCCTCACTGGGTTGCAGGGAGGAGGTTTACTGGAACCGAGCATGGGCCATATCCAGGGGATGATGGGTTGGGATGGGCTAGTATCCATTGTTCACTACCAACTGTAGGTGAATGGCCTGTAGTCTGTAAAACACAAATCTAACAAACAAATTCAATATGCAAGGCCCAAATATAAAGAGCAACAAAATAAGTAGAAGTAATATCAACATAGGGGAAAACAAAGAAAGCCATAAGTTGCTTTCCTTTAAAAAAATGATTGTGCTGAAATTCTCTTTCCCAAACCAAACTGAAAATGTTTTATTTAATTTAAACAATTAATAGAATAACAGCTAAGTCCCTCAATCAGTTGTACCAATACCCAATTATTCTCATATCATTTTGAAATATTTGAGGACCTTATTTTATCTTTGAACTGTATTAAAATCCTGTTCCTTAAACAAAAACAAAAGAGGTTCCTGTCTTTAACCTCACAACTTAATAAATTCACAATCTTTGTTTTATAAGCTTATTTACCCTTCTCTAATTATATTCATCATCCTGAAAGAAAGAGACACTTCAGGAATTGAATCTTATACATATAATAAATTTAAACATTAATTTAGCTCTTCTTAGGCCATGGAATAACAATGAATTCAGATTAAAACAATAAAATGTGACAGACTTACATTATGCTCATAGCTTTTACTGACCACCTGCTCTGATTATAAAAAAACTGTCATTAAAAAGAAAAAAGCAGAAGCATGATCATACCAGCTATGATAGGATAAAACATCCTTAGCTCTATTTGATTTTAGGTAAGAGTCACAGCTTACCATGCAGTAACAATTCTACTCACAGCCAAAGTCAGGAACAACCAGGGGGAAAACATTCCTTTTCAATAAGAAACAATGGGAAACCAAGGCAGGAGGATCCCACCTTAGACTGATGCCAAGGTTGTCCTCTAGACTTTTCCTGGATGCAAACCTCTGCTGTAACAGTTCAGGATCATGTTCTCTTTCAGTAGATCATGGTATTTCTCTCAAATGCTGTATTATGCCATCAGATAACTATACTTAAATTTAAACGGAAAATAATATAAATTACAGTCCCAAGAGCTTTTGCCTCAAATGGCAAGTCTCATTAACCACAGCTTAGGGCTACATCCATTTTTTAATCTTACGGGGTTTCAATAAGCAATAAAAATTTACCATAAATTACATACATAAGAGATTTCACTTAACATTTTTCATTTTTTGTTTTTCTTTCCTTCTCAAATTTTAACTTATCTGGGTATAAAAACAAATCATTAAAAATCATTTTTCCATTATATATAGACTTGCAAATTCTCAGAAAACCAAGTTCATTGTTTAGAAATCTATAACCCAAACAAGCTCCTTTCCAGGATTGATGACCTTGCCCACACAGATGGTTTCCAGGGAGCTGGCAAGTTTACAAAATAAGGGAAATCAATAAAGACTCCAAAGAAGGGGCATGGCTGTCCACCCCATGATTTCTTCCTCTAAACTAATGAAAACTTTCTGAAACTAATACAAAAATTTACTAATTTAAAGCTTAAAATAAACCCATTTAAAATTAGGTAACTTCAATCTTATTAAATGCATTTCCAAATTACCTTACACAAAAAAATGGGCATCTCATTGCCATATGGCAGTGATATCTGCACTTTGACAGGCATTACATTAGGCACTTTATACTCATGTAAAATCAACTGATGTAATTGCTTAAGGTAACAAATTTCAGATCTATGCATTTTCCCAATTTATCTTAGTGCCAAATAGTACAATATA